GGGAACCACGGGGAAGCTGGGAAGCCATGAAACAGATCACTGCTTCCTATTGCAGCTTCGAAAAACCAAACATACCAAGTTGAAATCCCGCAGCAGGGTTCGGACGACGCAACAGACCATCCTGTGCAAGAAACCACATGGCATGTTGTGTGGTGTTGTTTGATCCAGCTTTCTTTTATGACCCGGGAGGAGGTGGGTCAGAAGTCTGCTTCGTATGACGCAACATCCCAAGGTAGGTTTTCGGCCTACGTTGTTTGTTGCAGGGCAGCTTGGCTGATGTCCTGACACACCATGGTTTCTGCAGGATGGCTTGCCAACCACGATCAAGACACCCATGGAGTATTGTTGGGTTCTTTGAGATGGCTTGGTTTCAGAGTGGCTCGCCATGATGCACAGATCTGGGAGGATGGCCAGAAAGGGCAAGAGAGCTGCCGCACAGAAGTGGCGAAAACCCCCGTTTTTCCTTGCAATTTTACAAATAGCCCCTTCCTATTCAACCTTGCCTTTATCTCCTCACTTTCTCACCTCTCGAGGCAGTGACATCTTCCATTTTCCACCTTCAGAAAGATTTGTGAGCTGTCCCGAGATGCCATGCATAAGGACGGCATATAAAAGTTTTAAATAAATAAATCTGCACAAATGCGATGCCAAAACAACAGCAACCACCACCACCACCACCACCCTTTTTGGGAGATGCATGCAAATTTGCCAAAGCACACAAGCTCCCTTCAGTGAAAGCAGAACAAGTAGGGGATCTTGCAAGGGGCAGATCCGCACGGAGCCCCGTGAAGCTACGGCAGAGGCACTGGCTCAGTCCAGCAGCATTTGCAGGAAAGCGATCTGAGAAGACCCAGCAGCCCCTCCCTCCTGTCAGCTGATATTCACCCGGCTCGCCCGTTACTTGATCTTGCTGTCAACAAGCAGCGATCATCTCTGTGGCCTTCTTTCGCTCCTCAGCCTTCCTTGAACAAATCCAGCGTGTGTCTGATCACATATGCTCACATTCATCCTTAGTCATCCCCCTCCCCTCCCCTCCCCTCCCCCGCCAACATCCAGCTATTTATTTATTTATTTATTTATTTATTTATTTATTTATACCATTTCTATCCCACCCTTCACTATGTCTCAGGGTGGTAATACAGTAAAATACAGCAAGGTAAAGCATCCAGATATTGCGATAAATAAAACCCAATCTTAAAGCAATATTAGCATTTAAAATTATGGGAAAATGAAAAGGGTTTGGCATGGAGCCAAATGAAAAGAGTGTTGGTGCCAGGTGCACCTCTCTGGGGATCATGTGCCCAACCGGGGTGCCACCACAGAGAAGGCCCTTCTCTGGGTAGACACACTGGAAAAGCTCTGCATGATTTCTCTCTGATAGCAGTGCAAACAATAACAAACGTGTGTGTGTGTGTGGGGGGGGGATTATAGCTATATCTTATTATTCATATTATGCATTGTATTATGTATTGTATTATATATTGATATTATGCATTGCATTATGTATTATATAATTGTACTAAGGCTTGTTTTCATTTTGTATTGCTTACAGTTAAATATTGTACCGCTTGATTGTATTGCATGTCCCAAACAATGCAATCATACATTAGAAATTTTTTTGTTCTATTGTCAGCCGCTCAGAGAGTCTCGTGGGCTATGGAGTGACATACAAACGTCTGGAATGGAATGGAATGGAATCTCCTTCAAAGAGGGCCCCTGAAGAAGGGCCTCCGGTCCAGATCTTGGGGGGCAAACGGAAGGAGGTGCTTTTAGGTGACAGCCTCTTGGAAAGGAAGCCAAGCCAGGCCAAACCATCCTGTCCTTTCCCACGAATCTGCCATGGCCAGTGAGGGATAACTTGCATGTGCGAACTAGAGGTGGCAAAGGAATCTGCAACAGATTCAAACGCATCCAGATTTCGAGGAATCCAGTCCACAATTTCAGCATGGAGCTTCTTCTGAGTCATGGAGAGGCTCCAGACTTGAAGCCCAGTTTTGTTTCTGATTTACTTTCTGGAATTGTCTACAAATCGAGTCATGTAAAAACACAAAACAAACCAAACACAATAAATGCTTTTAAGCTAAGGCCTGAGGAAGGAATTTGCCCTTTCGCAATAGTGTTTTGTGTAATGGCTCTTGAAGTGTGTTCATGGACTGACCTCATTGCTTTTCTTGAGGTCAGGCTCTGGTTAGTGATGGAAAAGTGACTAAAACCAGGGCTCTTTTGTTAAAGAGACTGCTTTTCAGGATGTTGTGCCAATATTTAGCCCAAACCTGATCACTTAATGATGATGCCCTTGACCTTTGCCAGTGCAAACCAGACTGTGGCAGATGGCTTTGGACTCTGCAGGGCGGAATATTGTAACCCACTTTGACAACATGGGTCTTGGCTTGGGCGTATTTGTAGCACAATATCTTTGTTAGTCTTTCAGATCCAGTTTTTGTGTCAAACCAGCTCAGAATGGGAGATCGGTTAGCCAGGATCCACGTGTGGAACAGCAAAACTCGAGTTTGCAGAATTTCCTCATGTTCCACCTTATCCCTCGTCAGATTCCAAGCGTTGGTGTTTGGATTTTCACAGAACAAATCATGTGTATTTTTCCAGATCTATGTGTATTTTTTCCATCTATTGTGGAAATGAACTGGGAGAAAAGAGAAAAGGCTATATAAGCCACTTTGGATCCTTACAAGAAAAAGGGTGTAAATAGGAGAAAGAAATCAAAATAAATAAGATAGCAATGTCCTTCTTTGAAGAACATGGGTCCTTTTCCTACTGGTTAAAAAGCATTGGTCAAACTCTGTCTTTTTGATGGACAGCTTTGTGAAGAGTGCATGCTGTTCAATGTAGGCATTTTTGGTCTACAACTCGCAGTGCAAAGTCAGAAATGGATGGAACAATGCCTGCTATTTGCATCCGAGTCTGCATTTGGTACGGAAACTGGGAACTGGATAAATGCTGATCCAGATAGAACTGAAACGAACTCTTCTTATATCCCTAGGGCCAGTAGGGCCTGACGGAGCGAGTCGGAAGGGGTCTCCTGGGCCATCTAGTGTGGCCCCACCCCCAGGCTCCAGCCAGCCCCACTCATGACATACATGGCTTTTGCTGGACATGCGCACGGCAGGCAACTCCAGTGCATGTTTTATATGTCCCCGCCCCACGTACCAGTTTCCCACAAGAGAAGCAAGCACTTCTGTCGACCTTAGCATGCTCCAAAGTACATTCTCCAGGTGCGGCTCGGGCTCACGACCTCGGTATCGCCCGGTCGTACTGCTGTATTGTGTACCACACCCTAAACGATTGCGCCACTGGAGCTGCAGTGGATGGGCACGCCCCGACTTTACCATCCAGCAAGAAGAGGCACCATCGGAGGATGGCCCAAGAGATGAAGTGTTGCCCCGCCCCCTGCAGAGGGTAACAAATGCCATCCGTTGTCAAATTGGACTGTACAGGACCGTGTTTATTTCCGAAGCTCAGCTCTTTGGTGACAGATTCAAGGCAAAGAAAGAGAACCTGGACCTCTTCCTGTGTCCCGTTACATGAAATCCACACCCCCTCCTCAACGAGTCTTTGCACATGGAAGTCAGGAAATCAGTGGCATTTCTTCCAAAGCTGACCAGCCTGTTCTAGCCCACTGGGGGAGAGCACAGGGTGGCCCCCCGATTGACGGCAAAATTGCATGGCATTCAGGCAGGCTGGATGTTTTGCTTCCCAGTCTTCTAAAAGGGAAGGGGAAGCTCTTACGAAAGGGCTGCAGGGTTCCTTTGCAGATTTTGGACCTCTGGGGGATTTGTTCTGGCTTGCCAAGTCAGGTGCGCGTGGTTTTTGTTGGGCCAGGCCACTGGTCTAGCCCGCTCCGTACAGTCTCGAAGGAGTGGGAGTCCTTCTCGGGGGTTTGGGACAGAGGCTGGGGATCCGGTGGCCATGTTCTTGGAACGCACCCTCGAGCCACACCGGTCTGGACTTGGAGGCGGAGGTCGAGGGGGAGGAGGCGGAGGGGGCTTGGGAGCGTGGCGCTCCGGGCGCTGCGATGAAAGGCGTTCTTTCATTCCCAAGTGCTTAGGCAGGGCCTGAGAATTAGCCAAGGCGCACAGCGGTCAGGGAGGGGCAGGGAGAGGACTTCTGAGGGTTGGTGAACCTGGTGCCCCCACCGCATGGGGTCGGGAACGGAGGAAACGCCAATTAGAGGAGAGACGTATGTAAAAAAAGCAGGCTCACTTCTGAATGGGCCCTTCGGAAGGGATTGGGCCCAGACAAACTCAAGTGGAGGGTTTCTGGAAGTGGTCGCTCAGAGTGGGCTCGGCAAACTGCTCTGTGCATGCTCAGAGACACGTTCTGCGGGGCCGCATTTATGGAGCATCCTTTGGTGAATAAAGAGCCTTTGCCAAGACTCGGTCAGTTGCCTTGAATGTGCTAAGGGAGGCGATCTCGGCCCACAGCACCGAGGTCTTTTGCAGCCCCACCTGGGATCCTTACCTGGGACTCCCTACAAGCAGGGCTTCCGTCCTGCCATGGAACCATGACCTCTGCCCTTCCGAGGAGGGGGCGTGGGAGAACCCCAGAGTACAGCCAGGTGGCAAAAGGCCTCGCCCGGGTGCTCACAAAGGGGCCAGGACTCCGAGACTTCTCTACATCTCTGTCCTTGTTTCCCTCGGAAAAGTTGGTGGCTCTGGTGTCAGTGCTTGCAAAATGACTGTAAACAAGCCTCGATTCACCCACACCCGAACATTCGTTCCATTTCCCCTTGCCTTCTGTAGCAGCTCACGAGGAATTTCCTTCGTTCATCTCTCCTGTTTCACCTGTCGCCTCCACTGAGCTGGGAAGGGAAAAGTGAATGGCATCCTCTCCAAACCCTCTAATTCTGCTGTTTTGATTAGGTCTCGCTTTTAACAAACACATTTCGTATGTTAGACTATTTTATATTTGTGTCTATTAATTTTTTTAGCTGTTTTAAATGTATACACTGGAATTTTATACTGTGATTAATGGCAATTGTATTTGGATTTTATCTTTTGTGTTTGTGTCTGGACCACCCAGAGGGCTTCAGCTAGCGGGCCGTACAGAAATGACATTGAATTAAAAAATTCAGTGGAATAAAACTGAACCTCAAAAGCAAATTGGAAGGAGCCTGCTTTGGTCGTGGCTTATTCTGACCACAAAATCCGAGTCCCTCCCGTTCAGAATTTTCCAGAGAAGATCGCAGCAGCCCCGCTTGAGACGTCTTCTAGGAACATGCACAGCGTCTGCCATGTTGAAGCAGTGGGACATCCGGCTCCAGGCTTCCTGTCTTCTATGGTCCCCACGCTGGGGGCATCCTCCAGGCAGCGCTGCCTAATGCTTTTGATGAAAAAAGCCAGCCCTGCATTGTCCGTGGGGCCTCCGACCCAACCTGCCACACGGAGGCCCGGTCCCTTGAAGGTGCTCCGAATGGAAAAGCAAGATAAAACCAACAGAACCTTGCAGGTGCCAAGCGCGGAAGCCGTCTTGTTGCAGCCCTTCGATGACTCTCCGCTAGCAACATTTGGGGTTATTACCTGTAAACCACATGGTGGAGGCAAACAGTTCTGGTTAAAATCTTTCCTACTGTGGCGTCTCCCCCATTCCTTTTCTATTGAGGGTAGGTGAGCAAGTGTCCCATTTTCGCAGGTATATGTTTAAAGCCTCATGCCAGGAATTGGTGTGGGTTCCCCGTGGACTGGCACGTCCTCCCCGCCGTTCCCTGGACCGTCTTCCACTGTTCGCACAGGAGAGCTGCTTGGAGAGGAGGAGGCAAATGCGGATGCGGCTCGTCCCCTCTCGCTGATGACTTTCAAGGCCTGCGAAGGAAACAGGAGGGAAGGAGGCTTATTTTCTCTTCCTGTGCGCACAGCCCGATCAAACCACCCACCAAGCGCCTCATTCTTTCATCTGCCCAACAAAATTCTATAAAAATGTGGCATTCACAGAGAGGTCCGCCTGGCGCCAACCCTCTCTTCCTTTCGGTGCCCGGTAAAGAACTTTCGATTTAATCTCCGCTTTAACAACTAATATTATTTTATTAATATCGTTAATTTATATACAGTGGCATTTTATTTTCATTACTTTTATTAATTAAGGGAGGATATATTGGACTATTTTATGCTATTCATGTATTGCTATTTATTGTGGAATTTTATTCGTGTAGGCCGTCCTGAGGCTTTTGCAAAGGACGGCATTTCAAATGTCTTAAATTAAATTAAATTAAAATAAAATAAAATTCAGGGTGTTGCTCATTTTAATCCTTCAGGTTTGAACTTCCCAATTGGAGTTCACGTGGTGAATCTGACCTTGGGAATTAATTTCAGTGGGAGGCTGGGCATGTCCACCCAGAAGCAAGGCCCCCGGAGGTCAAAGGACTTCCTGCAAAGGTTGTGCGTGTAGGATCGCAATTTTAGCCACGGTGGCGCACGGCTCCTGCTTGCAAGCTCCGGCGACCAGCTTCTGAGTGCCAGCCAGGGAGAGGGGCTTCTCGCTAGAAATGGAACGGTCTTCCCACTCCGTGTGGTGTCAGCTGCGTCATCCTCCTGGCACCGGGTTAGGACAACTGCTGATGCCAAACGGTTAACGACGTCTGCGTATATCAAATGGCTTGGCGCGTGTGCCTCGCTCAGCGCATTAGCTCCAGCCTCACGACCTGGCCCTCCAAGGCACCCGTCAAGGCAGATCCTTCCTGGCACGTCACAGCTAACCAGGCAGTGCAGCTCTAAGAGTCCCTTCGCAAGCTGAAGGGGTGCCTCTGCCCATGTAAAGAGTGGGTGAGTGCTGAACCCAAACCGGAAGCTTCTCCTCAGTCCTTGCCTTTCGTTCATGCGGCAAGCTCCATCCTCGGGTGGCCCTTCTCTCCCAGTGCCTCGCCCTGGGCTCAGGGACCGAACAAGGCAGCGGCTTTCCCTCCTCTCCTGGGACCCTCCTGCCTCTTCCGAAACATGCCTGCTCTCATGGCCGGCCTGGGGAACTGCGGGCAACGGCCCTGATGCGGCTTCAAAGGCTTCTGCTCTCCTCGGACCCTTTGGCCCCTGCGCCGCCTCTTCCCCTTCGGAACCTGATAGCACAGCCCGGGGAAGCCAGCCGAGAGTGCGCGCCGTCCCACGGCCGGCTTTGCAGCAAACACTGCCTGAGCTGTTCGGTTGTTCGCAGATTTTGGAGGATGGGAGGAGCCCTAAGTTGCTCCACTGCAGGATGGCCTTGCTCTAGGAGCTGCTGCAAACCCTCAGGGAGCTTCAGCTGCTGTTAGGCACAGAAATGGAAGAGGACATTTTGCAGCCTTCCGTGGCTCCGAACTTGGCTAGCCTGTGTGATATATTTTTCATTCATGCACAAGGTCAAAAGATATACATTGATGCCTGTCTGGGAGGGAAAAGGCATGCAAACTGCATGTGTGACGTGTTTTTTAAAACGTCACAGGCTGGTGCAGAAGCAGCATGGCCTCACCATGCAAAACAGACACGGATGAGGAGCAGATGCCGCCCCTTTCTTTGCATTCGTCCTAAAATCCGTGGGCCCTCCTGCGAGGGAAGCTGCACCGGGCCGAGTGGTGCAGACGAGGAATCAGTGGGACGGGTGTTGTGCCTGCCTCCCGCCATGGTCCTCACTCCTGCCTAGCAAAGTACTTACGAGTACCTGCCCGAGACCTTCTTTGCCACCGTCACGATGATTGCAGTAGCCACGGCGATCGCGATGACGATGCCGACGATGATGCCGACCAGGGCAGCCGTTTCCAGGCCTTCTGAAAGAGGAAGCCGCAGCCCCTGGGGTGGGTCGCTCACAATCACACAACCCTGTCCCTGCCCAGCCCCGCTGCCTTCCGCAAGGCTCCCGTCCAGGTAAGCCTGCCCAGTCGCCACCTTGCCGGGAGGTTTAGGGGGCGGTCCGTTCACGGGAAGAGCTACGCCTGATCAGACCCGATGCCGATCCAGTCCAGCGTGCTGTTTCCACCACGAGATTTGCGAGGCCTCTGGGAAGCCTGCAAGCAGAGCGTGGGTGCAGCAGCACCACCTCCCACCCATGTTCCCCAGCCACTGGGGTATATAGGCCTGCAGTCCCTGATCTTGGAGGCCCCAGGACTTTCCTCCACAAATACTTCCAGGCTCTCAGGGGGTGGCCATCCCGGGGCAGCGGGTTTCATAGGCTTTGTGTGAAGCCCTTCTATGTGTCTGCCCTGAGCGAGCAAGGCACGACCCGGGACTGTAATAGAACGAGAGGAAGAAAGATGCCTCCCTGTGCACTGCTTGAATGCATCGTTACCTCTATCCTGTCCTTCCTAAGATGGCTCTTTCACAGAAACCTAGAAACAGAGCGAGTCAGAAGGGGCCTCCCGGGCCATCTAGTCTGACCCCCGGCTCCAGCCGGCTCTGCTCACGACATGCCCACCATGTGCACGTCCAGCCTATCCTTGAACACCCGCACCAATGGGGCCTCAACGATCTCTCGTGGAAGCCCACTCCACGCCCTCGGGGTCCCAACCATCAGGACGGGCTTCCTGGCACCCACCCTAAATCTCGGTTCCCTGAGCTTGGCTCCACTGGAACACATCCTGCCCTCGACTGCAGGGGGAAACGGTCATGCCCCACCTCTGCGTGGCCCCCCCTCACGTGCCTGCGTGTGGCTAACGGGTCCCTGCTGGGTCTCCTCGTCTCCAGGCTGAAGAGACCAGCTCCCTCAAGCTCAGCCGCCCCCTCCCTTGCCCCTTTCCCCCTGCGGGAGCTGCCCAGCCCCGTGATGGTTTTGGTGGGCCTGGGGGCAGAACAGTGAACTGATCTTGCCTGGCACCTACGACAAGGTGGGGCATGTGTGCCCACATTAATCAGACACATTTATTTATTTATTATTCGGGGCAGCTGACAAAACATATGACTCTTAAGGCTTCCCCTCTTGGAAATGCTGCCTGTTTGGCTTTGCAACATGTGCCGGACCGCCACACGAAGGTGCTGGGGACCTGGGAGATGCAAGCTCTAGTCCCCACTCAGTCACGAAGCCCCCGGATGGCTTTGGGCCAGCCGCTCCCTCTCAGCCTGCCCTACCCTGCAGGGCTGTTGTGGTGGTGATGAAATGGGGTTGTGTGAGCTGCTTTGGGTTCCAAGTGTTCAGGCCCCGGAGGCTGGGTCTCTTTTGAAGTTCTGCCTGGTCAAGGTGCAAAGAGCCAGGCAAGGCTACAAGTACCCTGCGCTACCTCTGCAGCAAAACAGCCAGGAAATTCAAAATCTTTTCCATCTTGCGTTTTTATCCAAGCATTCTGCTATGTCTCCCTGCCTGTCCAGTTCCCCCACCCCGGGGCAACCTGTCTTGGCTAATTCTGACCTAGTTCAGACCTTGGGGGGGGCTCTCTAAGGCCAGGTTTTGACAGATGCTTTAAACAAAGCAAAGGTACTTTTGCAGGTAATGCAGTCGCAGAGGTGAGTGAATAATCCATACTAAGGAAAATCAGCTAGGAACAACAAGCAACAAATAGAAAATAAACCCAAGATGGGTAGGTGAAAAGAGGTTATTAGTTGTTTCACAACAGCTGTTAACACCTTATCTAAGCCACGTCATTCCTGAAGAATGTAGAAGAAAGGGAGGTGATGGCAGAAATATGTGAAATATGTGAAAGATGTGAAATTCCCTCACTATGTACTTAGTTAAAGACACACTTTTCTAGAGAAGCCTTACAAAATGCCCTGTTTATTTGAAAATCCGTTTCAAAGGAAAACCCTAGTCGCCAGTGGTTTTTCCCACAATTTGTGCCAAATGCTCACATGGATGTTTTCCCCTTCCAGCACAAAGTCACCCACCGGTTCCTCTTTGGCTGGCTCTGAATCAAGGCGCCGTGAGCGGTGGCCCCACCTCCTCTGGCAGCTGGATGCAGGTTCTCCACACTCCATTGGTTGTTAGCGCAAATGGGGGACCGAAACGTTTAGGGCTAAGCTATGCAGGGGAGATCCTCGGTTAAATCCCCCTGAGATATTCCCAAGGTGAGAAGGTGTGCGCCATAATACTGGGCCATAATATTGGGATTTGGGCTTTGCACCGTGCACCACCGGCGTCCTTCTCTCGACTCTCTCTCCCTGCCACCTCATCACAGAAGGTGGAGGGCAGAGAGAGACCTGGGGGAGATCCAGACCTGTCCCCTTCCTGGAACCCTTTGCTTTGCGGCAGCCCCCTTTCCAGCCACTCGGCCATGCCGTCCAACTCTCCCGTCCTGCTGCACTGGTCTGTGGGGTCAGGGGAACTGCGATCGCATCACTGCAGATGGGCCCTGATGCCCGGCTGGCTTAACCCTCTGCCTGGAGGCCTCCAGCCAAGAGAGCCCACTGCCCGCCTCTCCAGGCACTGGGGCTTCCTTGCCAAACCTTTCTTACTTCCCGGATACTTCTAACTTCCCACTGGAATCTACCCTCCTCCTCACCACCCGCTTGTCTTCAGCTTACTCCTCCCATATTTGCCAGCTCTTCAGGTATTTAAAGAGTTCTCCCCTGCCCCTGCCCCCAGCCGTCCTCTCTTCCAGTGTCAGGACAATGGGAAGTGGGGGTGGGGGGTGAATTTGTAAAAAAGAGAGAGAGAGAGAGAGGAATTTTGGAGGAATTTGACAAGCTGAAAACATTTCTAGCTGATTGCAAAAGAGATTGCAAAAAGAGCAGAAACTTTGCTTGCTTTCTACAGGAAGCGAGTATATCAAATATTACGTTTCCAAACTCAGAAACGCTTTGCAAAAGCAGTTTGTATTTTCTGGGCATGTGCAGTGAGGAAAGCGCTCAATGCACTGCAGAACACACTGCGGACTCAGATCTGACTTTTGCTGTGGTGGAGGCTCCCTTGGGAAGGGGAAATTGGGTGCCTTGTGCATGGGTTCTTTCCCCTGCCCTAGCCCCCCACGGACGGGCATCCGGCTCTCTCTTGCCCCTTGGTGTGCCAGCTGCACACAGGCAAGCCTTGTGCACTCAAAGTGCTCAACAGTCTTCAGTGGCTTCTCAAGAGGAACTGGCTCTTGGCTTCCCCCCAGCGAACATTAAAAAAGCGCCTGCTAGATCAGGAAATAGGATGGGAAGCCGCGGGGCTCATTAGTATGCCTCAAGGTTCAGACGAGGATTAAGGCAACCTAAGAAGCAACTTAACCACTCGGTGCCATTAGATTAAATTCAGACATGCGCCCTGTTTGCCTCTGGCCTCAAATCGCCGGGTCGGGTCGGATGGGAACTGGGGATGTACCAAAGGGGCAGGGATGACAACCGATACTCCAGGCGGGTCATGCAACTGCTCATTTGCAGCTGGTTTGTAAACAAATCTGCACTTACGGAGTGTCCTCCGAATTGGTGTCGGTATTTACTTATTTTTCTTAAAACCCACACATGTTCTTAGAGTGTTTTTTCATTAAAAATGCTGATGTTATAGTGCATGTAGAACACTCGTAATCATGCTGGCATGCACGTAACACATTCATGGAGCTTCCATGTAGCCTGAAGTGGCTGATCCTGCCTACTCTGGGAAGCTAAGCAGGGTCGGGCCTGGTTGAAACCTGGATGGGCGACTGAAAATGTGAATTGCCCAGAGAGCTTTGGCTATGGGTGGTATAGAAATGTAATGTAATAATAATAACAACAACGACAATACAGAAATGGTGGGATGGAATGGAATGGAGTGAATGGAATGGAACAGAAGTAGAGTTGGAAGGGGCCTCGAAGGCCATTGAGTCCCACCCCTGCTTCAATTCCAGATGTGGTCACCCATCCAGCTGCAGACCCGTGCAAAGGTGACTCAACATCTGGGCTATACCTTCAGATGTTTCTGGAACTCCCAGGTCGGTCGAGTTCTCGCCGTCCTCACTGGTTGCCAGGATGCTGTCTGAGGTCATCAGGGCCTGAAAAGGGAAAGGACCCGCAATTGCAGGCTGTAACTGCTTAGCCCGTGGAGCGGCACAGACATGAAACATTTATTTATTTATTTCATTTGTATGCCACCTCCTAGCCAGAAAGCCTCTCTGGGTGGTTATGAAGCTAAAAGTTAGAAGAAAAGATAAAAATAGCAATATCACCATAAAAACAGGAACCACCAGACAACAACAAGAAAAACAAATCCAGGCGACTAATTCAATCTGTGCAGAACTGTAAAATAAATATGTAAGTAAGTAGTTGTAGGTGCTGTTTGCAGCTGGCCTTGGACTGCACACGACCTGTCTAAAAAGGGTAAGCCCGGTCCATTCCAGGGCACCTTTGCTCAAACATACTGCAGAATTTCTGTTCAGCTGCAGAAATCCAATCAGATCGACTCCAATAAAAATGTAGAATTTATTTGTTCCTTTTCCCTTTAGAAATTAAAGAAAATCAAAAATAATAAAATGAAAGGGAAATTTAAAAAATAGGTGTTAAAACTAAATCATGCATCAGAATTAAAATGCCAAGTAAAATTAAAATAATCTAAACTGAGCAAACAAAAGGACTTTAAAGCATGCCAGTTTTGAGATAGGATTTTAGCTGAAATGGATAGCAGGGTTCAGTTTGAAGAGGGGGCTCCCCAGCAGCCAAAACCACTCCTGGCAAGGCTCACTCGCTTCGTTGTTTACTTTGTTTCTCCCAGTTTCTCATTTTTCCACCTTTGTTCCTTCTTACCAAGTTCTCAAGGCAGCTTTTGCCATCCACTTTCTCTCCCTTGCATCTTCACAGCAACCCTGTGAGGTAGGCTAGGCTGAGAGCCAGCGACTGGCCCGGAGTGGGGGCCGGGCGAAATAGTCCATAGACATCCAGGGGCACACACACCGCCTCTCCTTGCCACAAGGGCCAGAGGTGTGTTGTGAGGCATGAGCCAAACGCGGCCTCTGCTCAAACCCAGCTACTGCTGATCCCAGAATAAAGCAAGGAAGGCACCCAAACACTGCATAGAATAAAGAAAGAACAGAACAGGCTGTTGCGAAGGGAGCGCACACCTCGGCTGCATTCCTGGACGACAGCGACAGGCCCGGAACGATACTCACCAGGGTGGGAACTTCTGTGCCGTCTTGGGCATCAGCAGTCAGAGTTTCTTCCTCCGGCAAAGTGGTACTTGCTGGACAAAACAGAAGAGAACCAGCGTGGGTGGCCAGGCGGGACCCTTCGCCGCTTGCCCCGTGATCACCAGCATCCCTGGCCTTTCCGAGGCGGCCTCGTTCCCACGTGGGAGAGGCCCTGGCCCGTTCTGTCTGCTTTCTTGGTTTCTCTGGGCCGCATCTGCACCAGGCTTCAGAGAGTCCTCGGCACAGCACGGCTGGCCGGCACTGTGCCCCTCAGCCGCCTCGTGCTCCGTACCCCGAAAGCCCCCTGGAGATTCCCCCGATGCCCACGCCGCATGCCGACTCGCCCTTCTCTTGTTTTCCCCTGGGTCAGGGCGACAGCTGCTGTTCCTCCACGGTGGCAAAGCTCAGCGGGCACCCAGGTCCCGGGCACGCCTTTTAAAGTTCTCCCTCACTCGTCCCCCTTGGAGGCAACATCTGCCAGATGTATTGACTGAGTTATTTAAAGCTTTTATATTCCATCCACCACCAAGGTCTTCGGACGGTCTTGCTATAAAACAGTGGAGTACCGCATCCAAGTTTGTTTTCTATACAATAAACCCCCACATTAAAATCACAATCAGACCTTCAAATACTGGGAAAAGAAAAAGGTTTTGGCCTGGCACCGGAAAGAATAAAGTGTTGGTGCCAGGAGAACCTTTCTGGGGAGTGAATTCCGCAATCGGGGTGCCACCACAGAGAAGGCCCTTCTCCAGGTCACCACCGCCCCAATCTCCCTCAAGAAGGTCTCTCAATGCACTTCACTGCCATGCCAAATGCAACCATTTGCTTTTCTTTCTTGCCCATGGGGAGTCCTCAGGCATCTGGGGGCAGAAGTGCCCTTTGGAGCATGGGACCCCTCAGCAGCTGCCCACCCGTGCCAACTCCAGGTGCTGAGAGGTCTGGGGTTCCCCAGTGGGCCATGCCATCTCCCACTGACCCAACCTTTTCGCTAACCATGTGTCATTTTGTGGTTTCCCATCTTGTGCAGTTTTTCACTGATTCTAAGAAGCTGAAATGCCCCTCCAAAGTTACTGTCTGACAATAAGGACTTCAATAGAAACACAGGAAAAAAGTGGATCAAAAGGCGTCTCCCGGGCCATCTAGTCTGACCCCTGGCTCCAGCCAGCTCCACTCATGTAATCCCCAACATGTGGCTGTCCAATCTTCCCTTGAACACCCTCCCTGATGGGGCCTCCACCACCTCCCTTGGAGGCCCATTCCATGCCCTAGGAGTCCTAACCATCAGGAAGTTCTTCCCGGCATCCAACCTAAAGACCAGTTCCTTTAGCTGTGCCCCATTGGATCACATCCTTTCCTCTCCCTCAGGGGAGAACAGCTCACGGCCCTCCTCCACATGACATCCCCTCACATAGTCATAAGCTGTTAGAAGATCCCCTCGGAGTCTCCTCTTCTCCAGGCTGAAAAGACACAGTTCCCTCCATCTGTCCTCACATCCCACCCCTTTCGGCCTGGCTGCCGTTCTTGTGACCCTGCACCGGACGGATTCCAACATGGCAGGTCCATTTGCCTTTGGCTCTGGATTCCCTGGAATGCAGTCGTGAAGATCTCCTCAAAACCGAACTGGGGCCATGGGCTAAACAAGTTGTGATACCCACCACAAGAGAGAGAAAATTTTTCCTTGCTACCGGCTACCATATAAATTCCCCCCCAAGAAATAAACAACGGATTGTGCCCATGCTTAGAAATACTTCTGCTTTCTTTGGCTTGCATATAAAGAAAAGTTTTATTGTACTTCCTGAATTGTAATTTTCATGCAATTATTTATGATGACTGAAATTAAAAGGGTCTTTATAGCTTATCGATTCAGAATTTTGTCTTTTATAGTAAATTGGAGAGTTTTAAAAGAGCTTGTGTTGGTTTTTGTATCTTTCAGAAGCATAAGGCCAAGAAGAGGAAGTATGTGAATTCACATATATTTTCCTGTGATGCTATCTTCATGCTATTACAGGATATGCAGTGACATGAAGGATGTGTCCTTATCTTATAAAGGGGGGGGGAGGAGACAGTACCCCCTCCCGCCAAATAATTGGTTAATGATAACCTCCAATTTTGCTCTCCAAATTTCCCCAAAGCCGCAGTGAACTTAAGATGCATCATCTGCCTGGAGCGCAGCAGTGCAAACCCAGTTTGAAATCCTGGGTTCATAAACTCAGTTAAGAACACAAGAAGAGCCACTCAGGATCAGACCCAGGCTCCAGGGTTCACACAGTGGCCACCTGGCTGCTCGTGGGAACCCAAGAGCCGACGCGAGTACAACGGCGTTTTTCGGCCTGTGTTTCTTGGAGACTGGCGACCCTAGCACACCGTCCTGCTTCTGAGGATCCAGTGGCCATCAGGACCACCGAATTCCTCCAGGAATCTGCCCAATCTCCTTTCAGAGCCATCCGGACTGGTGGCCATCACTTCAGCATGGGGAGTCTTAGGTAAGCCACTACAACTCCAAATGACTCCTTTGCAGTGTGGATTCGGCAGAGATCGCAGGTTTGTTGCAAGGATAACTGGAGGTGCTTATGAATCACTCAAGGCTTGTCAGTTCCACTCTTTGCAATGTGGGTGCTGCTGGGAAGCAACCCGGAGAGACAAGTTTGCTCTCACGATTAGGAGACCAGATACAGAGAAAGGAAAGAGGCAATTTCAGCAGTTGGGCAGGAGAGACAATTCCAGCTGCCGTAGCTTGTCCGGAGAAGACCATCAATGCCAGGGAAAGTCAAAGGCACAGGAAGGGAAAGGGCGGCTATGAGAGCGAACAGTTCCATCAGGGAAGTCACAGCCTGCGCCTGCCAAGGACACGCCATTCCAGCGGGCAGGCATTGCTGTAAGTCAGAAACAAATTCATGGCACATCCCAGGATCAGCTTGAACGATAAACCACGTCTTTTGCATTTTCCGCCACTTCACAGTGGCAGAAGGTGCAGAAGCCTTGTCCTTTCTGGCTACCCTAGTTTGCAATAGCCCAGCCATTGTATTTATTTCTGTCTTCATCACATTTCTATGCCGCTCCATAGCCAAAGGCTCGCTGGGTGGCTCACGGTGCAGTATAAAATACAAATAAAAATAAATAACAACAGCAAACCAAAACCATAAACCGTAAAATACAATATAAATACAACAAAGGCACAGGACAGGGGGAAATAAACACAATGAACCAATAATAACAACCAATAAAACAATAAGCCAGCGGCAAACGAGGTCCAATCTAAAAACAAATGCTAAATCAAAAAGTCTTGCCTCGGCACGGGAAGCAAGATAAAGTGGGCGCCGGTTGTAAACCAACGTCAGCTATGGGGCAGCAAATGGGTTCATTTCCTGGCCCTACTAGCAGCAGTCAGCGATGTGGTGAGGAAGCCAACCGTGGCGACGGTGGTGCGGGCAGCATAATGGCGAGCTGCTTTCTTTTGCAAAAGCGTGGCATTCTGCCCACGTGCATTCTCTGGGCCAGCAGGAAAAGATTCGCACTGCCGTGGTGTGGAATAAAAGGCTTCGGCGAACGGGGCGGCATAAACATGTTTTAATAAATAAATAAAATATTTAAAATAAAATACTAAAACAACCAGCGCAATGGTGCTAGGGGAGGGAAGAATGCTCCTGATCATTCCCAGAGAAGCTGGAGACTGTTTATTAATTATCGGAATAGATTCTGGCCTTGGGAATGAATTACCAATCTATGACAGGTGTGTAGAGCTGCAGACTTGGAAGAGTCTAGAAGGACTGTACCAGGGAAGAGTGTGTGTGTGTGTGTGTGTGTGTGTGTGTGTGTGTGTGTGTGTGATGAAAAATAGCATGAAAGAAAAGAAAGCTGGCAAAGATCCAGCACTCAACGTTGCATTCTCAGAGGAAGCAACGAGAGGGAGACACCAAGGCACACGCTTGTTCCACAAGCCAGAGGTTACCGATGTGGCTCATGACCCAGAGGGGCAGGGGAATTCCTGTCCCCCAGACTGCAAGGTCCCTGCATGGAACCGGGGCTTGGCCTGGCTGGCCTCCACCTTCTCTTCCACCTCCCCCACCCTGACTTGCGATGGTGCCAGGTAGATCACCTCTCGTCTCAGCCTGGGGGCCAGGAGGGGCTCCGTGCGGGATTCCCCTGCTGGTACAATGCACGCCCAGAGCAGGACATCTGTGGTGGCTCTCTCCCCTGCCTCCTCAGTCCACGCCTTTTTTGCTCACTCCGCATGCAGATGGCTTCTCAAAATTCTCCAGCATGCAGGATTTCTTCGCGGGCGCCCTCTTGCTCCTTCCCTCCAGTGGGAGCAGAAGTTCTCCCGCGTTTTCTCAAGGGTGGCGCTTCCATCAGCAGTGGCAGCTGCCTTTCTCCTTAAGCAGGCGTGTCGCGCCAGCGCTCTTTCCATAGCATGGTTGCTCTGGCATTCTCCACATTTTGCATCTTTCCAGAGCACCATGTGTGCGTGTGCGTAAGTGGGGAGGGGGAAATGCTAGCCGCCCCCCGAAACTGGACAATATCTGGGGCGAACCATCTGCAAAGCCGTCTTCTCTTGTATCCTTGTATCCTTTGCATCCTTCTCCAGATTTCTCTCAGATCACCGCCTTCTGAGAAATTTTGTCCATGCTCTCCTTTACGCCAGCAAACCCCTGTTTTCTCAACATAAACACCCTTTCCGCATTCCCCCCACTGCTTTTATTTCTGCCTTTCTGCACCAAAGGTTACGAAGCAGAACCGTCATGCTGGACACCTTTTCCGTCCTGGTATGATGTGCAGAGTGATGAGTGAGGCAGGAATGGTGTTCCAGCGCAAACGCTCTCAGGCAGGAAATGGCACACCTTTCATCACGTGCTGTTTAGCAAGCCGAGTCCAGTGGACGATTTCAGTGCAGAGTTTCAAGGAAATCAATGACTTGAGGAGAATGGATAAGAACATATGAAAAACCCTGCAGGATCAGACCGAGGGTCCGCCTGCCTGGCACTTCGTGCACTCAGTGGATCCCTCCAGCAGGATGGGTGCGAGACCCCCTCCTGCCCAAGCAACTGGTGCAGCA